TCTTGCTGCATCAAAGAAAGAAGCTTCCGGAGTTTGCGAAAAGCTGTGGAAGCATCTTTTTCTACCCTCGGTCTCTTGAATCTGATTCTGAGTGATCGTGTACTTCCTGAACTGTTTGCAGAGTGTATTTTCAATAATTATATCGATATTTTGTTCTTCGTTACGACCATAAGCTTAGTTTTCTTCAAGATGAAATGTTTTTTTTATGTATCTATTTGCAATGGTATGAGCACCTACCAATTAAATTATTTTTAAATGACCGTTTACATCGCTTATTATGGGAACCCTTTCAAGGATATTTCAGATGGACAAGCACGAGGATCATCATGATGATATTAAAATGATATCGAAAACCAGCAGAACGACGGTAGCGCTAATCGAAAGTGCAAGTGCGTCCCTGACTCGCAGGATGGCAGTCGCAAGTTGGCCAGCGTGGCAGAAGACAATGTCAGGGCTACGTGTCGGAGGTGCGTAAATGTATGCAGAAGCGTGATACTGGTCTAATTGGCAAACTGACCAGGAAATGTTTCCAGTGGGTTTGTCGTCGACGGCTGAAAACCGCGGAAAAGATTCATAGACGTACAACAGCGAGTGGGAAGTTTTGATCAATGGTTTCCTTTTGTTTATCCGTTTATGCTCGTAATAGTATGAGATTTGCGTACTACATCCGTTAATTTTTTTTATTTCAGTTCACCTTGTGAATGATATGTTTTGCGGTGTCGTTAAAAATAAGCGGTATAAAATGTTCGAAAGCTAACATTATCTTTCCACATGCTGGCCAACACCCGGGAAATTTTTGTACATAGAATTCAAAAGGTTCCTTAGATTTTGGCTAGCAAATTTAGTTTTGCTATATTTATCATTTCATGTTTTTTACGTTATTATTCTTATATTATTATTACCAGTTATAAACAACAAAAACACATATTTATTAGAAAAACTAGATTTGTATGCGTTAGTCACTTATTACTTTTTTTTCAAAGAAACTTTCACAGGCTACTGTAATACTTTTTACAAAACTTCTGGATTCCTCTTGTGTCGGTTTTTGCTGAGTCGAACTTGCTGACGTTTCGCCAATTATCCTTTTAGCTTCTTCAGAGCTTGACTGAAACTGGCTCGCATTTTGTTCTGTACCTTTTATATTTTTTGAGGGGGGCGGAGCTAAGTGAAGGACATATTGGTGATAGGTTAAGATTGTTAGGTTGCTTAAAGACATATTGGTCACAGGTAAAGACTTGAGTCGCGGTTAAGATTGTTAGGTTGCTCATAGATTTCTATAGACTCTCGGATATTTGTTTCGTGTTCGGCAACTGCTGATGAGATTATTTATCTTAGAGAAGTGCATTAAGACTAAGAGTGGTAGTGAAGTTTTGTACTCATGTCACACCCGAGAAAATTAAAATTTCAAAGCACAGTTTATACCTGTTCTAAGGAATTCTCTGCTTTATGCTGAAGAAGAACAGTTTGTACTACATGAACAGATCACCAAGGGTTATGTTCAGTCTCTAGGTACTCCATTAAATCTGGCTACTTAGAACCTAAGTAGGAAATTTTTATTTTGACCATTAAGTATAGATTTATTTATTTATTATTGTCATTTACTAGAACTTATATCAATTAACCCACCAGAGCTAATAAACATCTAAAATCATTTGGTGGATTTCTAGCACCGTTTTTTAAAATTTGTTTTTTATCTAGCTAGATTTAGCCTTTGAAACGAATATATTATAATGTATTATAAAAATATTTCAGACTTTCAGTCCAATCTGGTTTTGACCAAGACATACATTTTATCGCTACAAATTGTTTGAGAATTAAGATTGAGCCAACTCAATGAATTTAATAAAAATCAATAATAATAAAAATAATTACAAAAAGCAAAACATGGCGATCTGTTTTAGACTAATAGAATTTATTTACTTAATTATCCGTTTCTATTCGTGTCTCTTCCAATAACTAAGTTATTTTTAAAATATTATATATTATTTAATTTATTAATTTTATGTTTCAAAGTTTGTCAGGAATTTTAAATCAAATTATTAAATAAATATAACAATTTGTTGCTCTACTTTAAAAAATATGAAAATGCAATGAAGGTCTGGAAGTGAGCTATACAAATTTAAGGAGCAAAATTTCGGCCTATACTAACAAATAGAACAATAAATAAAAAAGAGTAGAATACAATTGAACAAATTATTTATTATGAAAATACAGGGTGTCAACATTTTTGCATAAAAAAGAAGTTTATTGCAAGTTCTACAAAAGCCACTTGTGAGTTGGACTTGACACGAGTGACTAAAGAATCAATGTGTTTTAAAATACACTAGATATTTTATAAGAATTAATTGTTAATTTACTTTAAACTGATTTAGGAGATCAGTACTTCATCTAATTATATTAAATCGATTTTAGAAATTTCGGAGCATTGCGAAAAACGAATTTTTGTTTTGCCAGTGCTCATAAAAAAAATGAAAAAATTAAGTGAAAAAAGACTTTTTATACTATTTTTGAAGGCAGGTTGGTCAGTATCCACTTTCACTTCTTCTCCTTTTCCATTTTGTCGCGAAAACCAATTATTCATCATGTTAATAATATTCATCTATTTGCATCTATAATTTATCAATGAGCAATATTGTGACGTAAAACGTCAATTATAAATTTGGATACGATTTAAATGACGCAAGTAAACTTGAAAACCGACATTTCTAGCAACGTTTTTAACCTGTAAAACCCATCGTTTTCCCAATAAAATAAAACTTTTTCATAATATTACGTCCGTGAAAATTAAATTTCGAAATTACGTTTTAAAAATTTTAATCGCAATCAAACATTGAAAGCTAGAAACATAGAAGAAATCCGATGGGTATTTGGACTTCAAAAATACCCTTAACGATGGTGCTTTAAATTTGCCTCGTTTTTCCTCAAATTTCTCCCGACTACGTACGTCACTGACGCGTCTAAAAATAAAACGACCATTGTTGTTGCGCGAATCCTAGCACCAGAAATTAGTATTACTTACTGCCACACTAGCAACGAACGGTCAAGCTTTATATGCACGGAGAGTGCATTGTTTCTAGGAAAGTAGTTGCCCTAGCATAAATATACACTTTCATCACGGAATGCGAATATTATGCAATGAGCACACGCACCATACACAGGGTGTGTTCACTCGGTTACGTGAGCGTTGGTAAGAAGGTTATTATGGTTCCCGCTTACCATTTTAATTATTACAAGTTTATACGGCACTAGTTAAATTGTTTTTGTTATTTTTAGTTTGAGTTCCAAGAAATATTTTTTGTTGTGTTTATTATACAGGGTTTTAACATTGTAAGCAGATATATGTAAAAGTTGTGGCAAAACATAAAACTAAATATTTCTTGTTTTTTTTTTTTTTTGAAAATCATCTAATAAATGAGTTGGATCCATGGCATAAGGATAATTTAACAAAAAAGAAATCACTTAAAGCAGTCAAAGTTTTGGTTAGTTTTAGAAATTACAATAACTTTTATGGAAGTTATGAGCATTAACTCGCTACCATCTTCTCTTTTCTTCTTCAGCAAGATAGCCAACAAGAGAGCTGTACTACTCAGAGATATGACATAAGGATCATTAAAAAAAACACTTAAAGCAGTTAAAGTATTGATGAATTTAGTAATTATTAAATCATTTAAAAAAGAGAACGCTTAATGCAGTTAGAATTTTGGTTAGTTTAGTAATTATAATCTATTTTATGGGAGTTATGAGCATTTGCTCCATAACATTTTTTCTTTTCTTCTTTCCCAAGCTAGCCAATAAGAGAGCTGCAATACTCAGAGACATGATTAAAACTGATTGTTCAATGCGCTTTTGAGGCTTTCTTAGAATGTGCGTTCAAATTATATTGCTTATATCCAGGATGCCACATATAAAATATTTATTTTTTGGTTTTTAATTACTAAAATATTTGTACCAAAAATATTATACCTGAATTATTAAATTCTATGTACAAAATGCTCTGTAATGGTTTTCGGAGAGACACAAAACTTTAAAATAGCTTCGTAGTGCAAATAGATTCGTTAATGCATTTTGCTTTTAACTGAAAATCATTGTTGTTTGTCATTCTCCCGACTTTAAACGATTTTGAGAAAATCTTAATCACGTTTCCTCGGTAGTCCTTCTTAGTTCAATTGTAATTCAAGATCATCAAGTCATCATAAGCAATAAATTGATATTGTTAGGTTAGTTGTGGCTCATTTTGTTAAGTTTTATTTGATAGTCTTCAGTACGATTTGAAAGTAGCAGTTTGTATGCTACCTGTAATCGTTTGGCTCAAATTCAAAAACCACAAAATACAAACTACAATACTACACTACAATGTCGGTCGACCGCTTGTAGTGTCATGCTGTTTGCCTATTCTTAGCGAGTATTCCAACCTCTCTAAGTGAAATGATATCTGAAAAGGATGCGTTCATTTTTTTTTCTACTCCCGTCTGTAAAATGCCTAATTACACACCGATCTAACGTGCGGGAAAGGTCACTTTACCACCTCAGTTTCGTTTCCCACGGATCCGAGCCATTTCGGACATTTTTGTGTTTTTTTGGGAAAATGTACCCAAAAACTAACGCTCGTAGAAAAAGTATAGTATGCAACACGTTCGGTAACCTCGCTCCGCTCGTGTCAAACTCGTGAGCCAAATACCATTCACCGCACTTGTTGCATAATATCCTAATGTCGTGCGGTAGATAGTCGTTGTTGTTAGAACTCGAGTGCATAATCTATTTGCTATCCCGATCCAAAAACATTTTTCTGTTGTGCAGTTGTAGATGTTATTAGTTTTATGATTCTACAACATATGAGTGACTGAGAGGAAAAAATAATCTTCTTTAAAGGCCACGTTTGCTTCGCATGATAATGGTACGTGATTAAGATATGGTACAATATTAGGCAAGATTGTCCGAAAGTCTGCGTCGTTTTATTAAATTTTTAAAAAATTTAAAATAAGTAAGAGACAAAATCCGATGAAAAATTTATTTTCTGCTGACTGAAATTCGTTGCAAAAGTAACAATTTTGCTGTAAGTACACAAAAAATGAAGTATTTCTAAAGAAGATATTTCTGGACCAAAGCCAATACCGGCGATCCCGTTGCAGGATCGGGAAAAGACCCCGCAGAAGCGGCAATATCCAAATGGCTGTATTTCAGTGGCTTCTGGCTATCTGACCCGTACTTATCCAGACCGGACGCTAGCAACAAGAACGCAGCAGGATCTGGAAAGGAAACATAATATTTACGCACTTATATAAAGACAAATGTAGAAATTCTTAAGTATACAATAGGCGAAAGAACATGCTAATATGTGGTTTAGAGCGAATCGCCTAAAATTAAATGAGGATAAAATTCACTCGTTAGTCTTTTCAACAAATAAAAGTAGGAAGGAAGGAAGATCTGCGAAGTTGTTGGGTGTGGTCCCGGATGATAGGCTTTCTTGGAAGGACCACATTGCTCATTTAGTAAAGCGCCTCTCAAGTTTCAAGCTTTTGTTACGACGGTTGAACAATTTAATCGGAAAAGATTATCTAGTCTCGAACTACTATGCTCTTTTTCATTCAATTTTATCATATGCTGTTATACTGTAGGGAAACTCAATATATTTCAAAAAAATTTTTTGAGTATGCAAAAAAGAGCCATCAGAAGTATATCCAATACAGGACCATTGTCACCTGTTGTTACCGAATTTTGGGGTTATGTCACTGCCATCGGTATACATGTATCACACGGTATTAGAAATTCATAACTCAAAACATATGTTTTCAGTTCACTCGGATAATAATAAATACCCCACTTCCTCCTCAAATTTGCTTCTAACTAGGAAGTTTAAATATACTACAAGCATGAAAAATTCTATTGACTTAAGTTTATATAACTTAATTCCAAATCAAGTCACAAACTTGTAATTTAAAAATTTTAAAACCAAAATGAAATCTTTTTATTTTTTGGAGCATTGTTTTTACTCTGTAGAGGAATACAAACAGAAGATAAAAGATATTGCCTGATTACCCGATTCTTCATGGTGACCTTTGTTTGATTGTGTTCGATATCTTCTTTTTTTTCCTGTTTGTTTTTATGTGTTATGTATTACATTGTTATACCTATTATTATTGTAGACTTTATCTAATCGTGTGTGTATGAGTGTATACATATTTATATAAATATATTTTTTTTTCTATTGTACTTAGACGTTCTGTAAACATACTATGTATTGTAATTCAGTCAAATAAAAATCTATCTATCATAGAAGAAATTGTAAATAAAAAAAAAAATAAAACAAATACTAACTTTGGTGTCCTCTGGGTGTTTGCGCAGACGGTTTATCTCCACCCTGTACAACGTCGTCTCCTTCCATTTTTCCTTTGTGTGAAGAAATATCTTCCCTACGCAAGGTGGAAATTTCAAAAGGATCACCTATTATATCCCCCGCCTTTTGTAAGCTAAAACAATGACCTGTCTTGTAAGCTGGCCCGTTGTCTATCACTGAAATTAAAAGGAGAACATTAATTTTTAATTGGTAAGGCACGTGTGCAGAGCGTTCCTTTTTAAACGACCTAAAGCGAATTTGGATTTTGGCACAAAGGGGAATTTCTCATCAGTAGAAGGAACACTCTGATCAAATCAAATTTTTAACTCTTAACTTTTAAATTATCATCCCGTCATAATATGTCATCTCTTGGTTATCTCTAATACTGCTTCTATTATACTTATGAAAAAAAGTATTTTTAAATTAATTATTAATTAAATTATTAATTAAACGATATTGCCATGCCGTTTTCACTACTTACTATGTTTTTTTACGCTCTTTAATTGTACCTAAAAAAATTATAACATTACATTTGAAATTTTCGAGAAAAATCATAAAAATTACTGTTTTTGACAACGACTCGTAAAAGAATTAGTATCTATCTATCGAAGCTCATGTAAATTCTTTAAAACTAAACTGAGTTCGTCGAAATCGAATTGGCCACAAAAAAGTTATTCAACTTTTTCCAAACCAATATTCGACCCTTCCCCCCCCTTAATTTGACGAGATAAAAAAAAATAGTTAAACAAAAAAGTTTCCTATCTAGAGTAGATTACGTTAAAACTAATTTTGATATAGGTTAATTTGGAATATTTTTGAGAAAATCCGTTTTTTCTATTTTACAGTAGAGGGCACGTAAATAAAATGTTAAAAAGACTTAAAAATGTTGAATTTCTAAGAACACATGTAAATTTCTATGGGTTTTTTGCGAAGGAAAATTATTGTAAACAACAATTTGATACAATAATGCAGAAATTAGGAAGAGAAAGATAACAATCCCCATTACTAGTCTCTTTCTTTTGTGAAATTTGGCTCGGTTTTCAATAAAGTCGATGCCATTCCAGTTTAGATCGAGTTCACTAGTTTTGTTACACAAACGGATGTGAATTAACCAACGCTCCTCGTATGCGCTGCTAAATAAAATATAAATCTAAGCCAGGTGTTCGGCCATATCGATCCGAAAGCCGCGCTGCCTGCCGGACTTTCTTGTGCGATTTTTTCGTCGTCATGTTATAACTACTCGGGTGACATTCCGTCATTTTTTGAAATATTGTTTCATCTCCATACACATATTTGGTCAGGTAACAATAGGAATAACCATTTTCGCCAAAGCGCAAAAAGAAAATGTCCGCGCGGACAGGCCAAACCGCGTCTCACGTATTAGGCATTCAGACATGCTGTCTGCACATTTCCTGCCCTATTTGGCATTTCGTTTTTTTATCGCGATCGCAATTTTAGCTTTCTACGTCGTTTGCCGAGATATTTAAGGATTGTCTTAAGGGATTGGAGATAATTTTTTACCGTCTTAATATGAACCGAATAGACGAAAATGGATGTGGACTTAATAATCGTTCTCATCAAGTATAGGTGCGACGTGGGAAGTTTGATGACACCATGGGAATATGACGGCTGTGCCGGTCGCGACGAATATAATTGAATACTACAGGGAAAAATAGAGAATGTCAATTTAATTGATCACTTGGAGTTATTACTGTAGATAATAACATCTACTATTTCCTATTGTATTAACCATGGACTCCAGTTTTCGTATAGTAGTAAAAAACCTTGCATTTTATTCTAAATACAGAGAGAAACGAGGGTTATCATCACGATCAAGATCCCAAAGAAAACCAACAATGTGATGATTTTACACTTATCAGTTTAATTTACTCAAGGATTAATATCAAGTGTGAAAAGGTGAGTGGCGAAACACAGTTTGGGGACTTCTTCTTCTTTTCCTTCATGTCGCTTCTCCATTCCGGAGGTTTGCTAACATCATGGCAATCATGACCTTGGAAACCGCTGCTCTGAAAAGATCTGCAGAAGACATGTTAAACCATTCTCGCAGATTCCGCAGCCAGGATATTATTCTTCTTCTAATTGATCTTCTGCCCACAATCTTTCCCTGGATTATCAAGTGAAGCAGCTCATAGTTTGGACTCCGCATTATGTGACCCAGATAGACGATCTTTTCTAGTTTTCTTCTTTCAACGTCTCTTTGTTCATCCTGATAAGTACTTCTGCGTTGGTCGTGTGCTCCATCCACAATATTAGGTCCACATCTCAAATGCCTCTCTAATCTGTGAAGCAGGCGTAAACTTCCTGATTGACATCAAGACAGCGTTCTATGAGGATATTCTACGCAAATAATGCGTCCCGAGTACTATATCCTTTTCTAAAACCGAACTGGGTATCCGAGATGTTATCTTCGAGTTTCTGAAATACTCTGCGGTGTATAACTTTCAAGAATACTTTAGTGTGTGACTCATCAAGCTTATTGCACGGTATTCATCTTTCTATATCTACATGTTTTTGCATTACCCTTTTTGGTATTGTAACAGAGGTCGATTCTGGCCATTCCGTTGGTATGATCCCCGTTATGTATATTCTGTTGAATAGTGCTGTTATAGAGCCCAAATGTTGCTCTTCAATCAGCTTCAACACTTCCGCAGGTACTTCCGTCCGGACCAAGCGCTTTTCCACTTTTTGTTGTCTCTCTCTGTCTCTAAAAGTATGTATCAAGGATGCATTCTCTCACCATTGGTGTTGAATATATAAGTCGAAAAAATATTTCAACTTGCTTTAGGTAATGAAGTCAAGGAAGTGAAACTAAATCTGGAAAATACACTTGAAGACCTACAGTCTTCGTTAAATAAGATGTGTGGTAGACCAGTATGAGCTACAAATACTGGACGCACAGGCAATTTCAGATTACTTGATACTGTCATTGACAAGAAATAGGACTGTGATGAACAAGTAAAAACACGAATGGTATGGGCAAAACGACTTTTTATAAACTTAAAAATATCCTTCTTCAATACTCTATCAAGTGGTATGTGCGAACTATAAAAGTCAATTATCGGATTAAAGTATTTGAAATGTTGACCGTCCAGAAACTGAGCAAAATAAAATATCTTGATTATATTTTACAAGGATAATGATATAAGCCATAGCCAAATTAATACTCTAAGATAGCAATAAAGACCGAACATTACCTGGATGGAAGCGGCGGCCATTATATTCCGCCAGGCAGAGACCCCCAATTCAATGGATTATAATCAACACACACCCAACTTGAGAAATACAAATTGCCCAAGAAAAAGAAGAATGTCCAATAATATTGCAAAAGGAGATCAGATAGAATAACGATAGAATGTTCACACTTCAAACAGGGTGGAAGTTTGTAATTAAACTAAATAAAGGCAATGGAAGCTTCAATTCCGTTTAGTGTCAATGATAGAAAGGTTTTATGTAAATTTTATACCTGTGGAAAAATAATTGAACATTCTTCAGAATATCAAAAATTGCAAAGATTGATTACAGAACATAACATGATTTAGATAAAATTTCAAATCTGATACGCGCAAATTTATATGAATCTTATTAAGATATAATCTATAAGTTAACTATTCTTATGACTATCCTAAGAAATATTTTGCGCAAAAATCGTTTTTGATTTTATTTTAGCAATGTTTTTTTTAGTTGGTATTAGTTTAAATCGTGTTGCAATTAATTATGTTGGGTAACTTTAACGGATACTTCTTTGGTTCATCTTAAGACAAAAAGTTTAAATTAAAATTAAATTAACTTTAGTTTTTTGCAAATAAAATTTGAAGTATATATAAATATTTCTGGTCCCTATATCTCGAGAACGGTTGATTATAGCAACTGCTACTTTACTCCTAGTACCGAAAGAAAATTGAATAATATTTATTATTAAATAATAAAACGTCGTTAAAGAAGAAATTTTCAATATCGATTTATCGATGGATGGATTGAATTTTGAAATTTAAAATAGAACTACTAGATTTTGTAAACTATTCAACGATAAACGCAAATTAAAATGAAGATTATATAAATAACAAACAAATTCATGCAAATCTATAAAACAAAAATTGCAAAAAATGGTTCATAAAAGAAGTGTGTAAAAGTAAAAAAAAAATGGGTGTGTGCGCTAATTAATATGCATCAACAAAGATTTGCATCGACATTGCGATTAAACTTGACCCAATATTGTTCAAAACGTAAATAACAGGTAATTTAGTGTTTTTATTGTACCCGAAGGGTAATATCTCATTTTTCGTCGATTTTTGGATCAAATACATTTCCGCATTCTGGCGTGACGTGTATAACACATGTTGTGCAACGCGATTAATGTTTACGAAGCATTACAATTGTATACCGTACAGATTAAATGACAGATGAATACAAAAAATGGAGAAGTTTTGTATATCCAACTGAGGTGTTTTGCTTGCTGCTTTGGTACACTAATTATTTTTGGCAGAAGCAAAAGAGTTTCTACCATCATTTAGCTAATCGTCTCAAAATCGTTTTCAAAGTATTTGTTCTGTTTAAATTCGTGGTGCAGTGAACATATCTTTCTCTCAAAGCCATTTTAATACACCAATCAAATGCGAATTTGCATAGGTTCAATACGCGAAAATTATATAAGTTCCACAGAATGCGGAACATTTTACCGACTCCAAAAATGTTCGACAAAAACCTAATCAATATTTGTCTTTGTCTTATACGATACGTAATCTCTTACTAATTTGTAACTGCATTACTATACCTATTAACGTGCTATGTAATCTATATTTTGGTTTTTGTCTTCGGGCATTATAAAATGGTTATTTCCACTTTGAAGTTTTAAAATAGTGGGCCAGTTAAATGTCCCACCTTCTAATGAACACTAATGATACTTGTGCAAAGCGAACCTACGCGAATCGGAATGGAACCAGGATAAGCCTGAACACCTACGCAAACAATGTGGTCGACAAACCTGCACCAACAAAATTTAAGTTAAGGAAGTCGCTTTGCTTTGACAAACGTTTTTTTTTAATGAATTATTTTTGTTACTTTGCGTTTCATACTTTGTAGTTGAAAGATTTTTAGAAATTTTGTTATTTTGAAAATTGTTTATTTATTCCAATTGCGAAAAGTATTTTAAATTATA